TGATTTTTGCACAATACAAACTACGTTTAAAATATTTAGTGAAAATACTAGCAAACTCAATTAGAAAAAGTACTATTATAATTATAATGTTTTCATTTTTAAAAATTATATTTTTTTTATGATATAAGAATTGGGAAACAAATATATATATAGAAAATTAGCATAAATTATTACATATTTTATGTGGCAAAAATAATAATATACCCCATCTTTAATGACATATCAGGTAACTCTCACATCACTACCCTCAAATAATATCTCATAGTTTTCATTAAGAGTTTTACTATAAATTTCCCAATATCCTAAAATTTTCATTGTACAAAACCTGAAGTTTCTACCCAAAGTATAAATATATTATTGAGGTTGGTAACACATGGCATTTGTAAATAGTTATGTTCCACTCTCTCAGAATAAGTGTTTTAATGAAAGTAAAGTTTTATCATTTCTACTTGCTGTTGTTCAGTTAACTCTCAGTATACAAATGTGGTTGGGTTCCTACTGAAAATGGCACTTGTGAGCCTGAATTAAACAATTTCTGGGGAAAGCTTAGCTATTGACCGAGCACTCTGGAGGAGTAGTCTTTTTAGTACAACAGAATACACTTGTCTGTAACTAGTTGTAATCTCTGAGGAAACTATTTTTTTTGAAAACCCTTAAAAGTATGTTGGTGTGATTATGAGTCATTTTTTCTGTGTTATTATTCAATTCCTGGGGAATTCCTTGACCACTTATGGTAATTCTGGATCATTTTGCTTCCATTCTGTTAATTTTGTATCTGAGAATCTGTAACATTTGTCAGAATCTGTCTACAAACCAGGTGGGACTCTAATTTCATGCATGGACTGTAGCCCACCGACAGCTTTAATTCATGATATTTTACTACTTTAATAAGTGAGCTTGTTCTTTTATTTAAAATTTTCCAATTATATAAACTTAAGGAATGCATGTTTTATATCTCTCTATTATTATTTCTTAAGTGATACAAAATTGTCTCCCATTAGATCCCTTTTATGCATTGCAGTCAACAAAGCTAGTCCCATTTCATGTAAGAAGAAATTTAGGCAAAAGAAATTTATTTTGTTAAGTCCAGGAAATACATAAGAGGAGAAGCTGAGTTTGTGGCTTAAAGTCTCTTAACTCCCTAAGGCTCTGAACCACAGGGCCTCAATAAGTCAGTTAACCACCAAGAAATTATGGAGTTCTTGGGGTGGGGGTATAGCTCCGTAGTAGAGCATGTGCTTACCACAGGCAAGGTCCTGGGCTCCATCCCCAATACCTCCATAAAAAAAGGAAGTTACATTTAAAAAAAAAAGAAAAAGAAATTATGGAGTTCTTATTTTATGTTGAACTCTTCTAGGTAGCTTCTATCTTTAAGCATTATTTTGGTTAAGGAATAATATTTATATGCAGAGAAGTTAGCTATCAATTCAGTATGTGCCGAATGGAATGACACACACTCAGAGGAGAACATTGGAGATACAGAGCAGCAGGCATTAGGGAAAGGACTGTACTGCAGGTTGCCCTGATTAGGGACAGCATTACAAAGGATTGAACTTGACGTTGAAATGGTAAAACTTGGGTAGGTGAAGAAGCATCAGGAGACTGTTTACACAGAGTTAAAAAATACTTCTGGACATGGCAGCAAAAAAGATAAGTCAGAGGTTTTGTTAATCAGTCATACTGCCTGGAATAGAAAGAATTGTGGGCATCAAAATTGAAAAACAAGGTTGAAAAAGAATTGCACAGTCTTGCCAGACCAAGGATTTTGAACTTTAGTCCCTGTGCTCAGGGTCAAAGTACTATTTTAGTTATATTAATCCAGAAAGTATATGCAGAATAAATCAGAGCGAAGAGTAATGTATGAACTAGGTCAGTGTCAGTAAGAAAGGATATTGATATTCTATGGTCCTAACCATTTTTACTTACTATCTCTGTATGTTGGAATGTTTAAAACATAGGTTTGATCTTTTTCACATTATCAATATTAATTATTGAATTCTGCTATAGGTCATCTTTAATGTAAACAGGTATGTGTTATGGCACTAATTTTTAGATCTTTCTATACTATTTCATGGGAGATTTATTTTTACTACTCTAATGATGCTTAGGGTAAACTCATTTTTATAATTGTTTTTGATCCAAATTCTTCCTTCAAAATCTAAGGTTTATGTTTTAATTTAGTGAAAAAGGTTAGTCTGGGCCTCTCAATCTCTCCTCTTAGATAGATACATAGAAATTACACTAGTATGCTTTTTCTATATATTGATAACCTCAAGATTGAGACGGTATGGCTCTCGGTTCACATGAAAGAAAAAATCATCAAATATCATCAGTAGCAAATCTCTTACTATGCTTTTCAGCTTATGCATTTATAGAGAGTAAAAAAAAATCAGTGGCTAGAAGAATTGGACATAGGATCTTCATACATTCAACAAATATTTATTGAACACATACTATGTGCCAGGTATTATTCTAAGCACTAGGGATACATCAGTGAAAAAAAGGACAATCCCTTCCTTATGTAGCTTACATTTTAATGGAGGGAAAGCTAATAAATAATAAACATAAAGAATAAGTAAGTTATGTTAGACTATAACAAACACAAATGAGAATATAAAAAGCAGAACAGCATAAGAAGAATAGGAGTAACGACTGTACTTCATTGAGAAGGTGACAATTGATCAGACTTGAAGAGAGTCAGTCATGAGGAAATCTAGGCAAAGAGAATTTCATGCTCAGCAAAGCAGCCAGTGCAAATATTTTAAGCAAATTCAAGTGAAGGACCTCCCCTTCTGTTTGCATTAGATTCTCATGCTCCTTAGGTCTCCTATAAACCCCTGGGCTTATTTTCCACAGGACCAGTCAGTCCCTACCCACAAGGTCTCTGAGAGAAAGGGGGAGTGCAGGGTTTATCCTTGACACCAAACTCTTTTGGGTCCATCTTTTTCACTGCAGTTTGTCTTAGTGAAGGCGGAGTTGTGTTACAGTTAATCTAATCAAAGAAGAAATTCCATTTCTTTCTCTTTCAGGAGATCTAAACAACTAGTGTCCTTGGCAATATACTTTATGACAATACACAATAACTATTTGGGCAATTTGCCACATAGTACAACTGGAAAACATTTTACTAGCCCAGGTCTCAATCTTCAGAAGCATGATCAGTTTTATAATGAGCAATACAGTTGTTAAGGTAGAAAAGATTGTCTCTTACTCTCAACAGCATCTAGATTTCCTTTCACTTAAAAAAATTATTTAAATTCACTGATGTATGTATTGGCAATCCCCATGATGAATAAAAATTAATTGCTTTGTAGACCTAACAGTGGCAGACGTATAATACCTACAAAACTTGACTTTAATGCTAACCTGTTTGATTATGTATATCCTCTCTTCCTACTCCACAGAAAAATCTCAATAGTAGAATTTTTTACTGAAGGATTTATTTTCACACTCACAATACTTTGATACAGTAAAATCCAGTGTAGAATAGTAGTGTAAACCATTATTTCTTAAACATGGCTGTACATAGGAAGGGGAAAAATAAGGCACTCATACCCAGATCCTAGTATAAGACCCTAATTTCATTGGTCTGGGGCAGGTCGCAGGCATTCATATTTTTAATAAGCTCCCTAGGTGATTCTGATATGTGCCAGTGTTGAGAATGATATAAACAAAAGACTAAACACAGGTGTTCTGAGTTATAATTTAAAAAAAAACAACTTGAAATCATTTAGTCTCAGTATGCACCAAAAGATTAATACTGTTAACCAAAGAAAAAATTAGCAAATAAAATAATATTTTTGCAAATATGGCATGAGGGATTTTTAAGCATTAATAATAACATTAAGGACTGTGGAAATTATGATGCAAAAGGTATGCTTTATAAATAATACATTTATTAAAGAAACTTTGCCCATCATTTGTGATGCCTTGGGGAAGGGGAAAAAGACACATTAAATAACATGGCAGAGTTAATTTCCATTTAGAATGAAGGAAACTTTTAGAGAGTATATACCTTTCTTTTTGAAAAGTATATATTTTGCAATTCAGAAAAATCCAATTTTAAATATGATCTGTAATCATATTATAGGAGGATCTGATCTTTTTCCAGTCTGATATCTTTTTACAACCCCATGTATATATACAGTTGCTATTGCCTTCCCTGAGTTTGAGCTATGGATCTTACTACAGTTGATCCTTGAACAATGGGGAGGTTAAGGATGCTGACCCTCTGTGTAGTTGAAAATCTGAGTATAACTTGCAATTGGTCTTCCGTATACTTGATTCTTTGTACCCATGGTTCTTCAGCCTCAGATTTAACCACCTGCAGTCCATGCAGTACTGCTGTATTTACTGTTGACAGAAGTTTGCATACGCAGTTCAAACGTGTATTGTTCAAGGGTCAACTATATTTTCTTCTCTAGGACTCTGTGTTTCCTTAGTCATGAATGGTACAATTGTGATTTTAAAATGCCAGCTTTCAATTATCCTTTTTTAGGCTACAAACTCTATGAAGGCAGAATTGGTTCAATCTCAGATTGTGCTAGTGGTTTAACTTCTAGCATGATACCTAACACAGACTGACGATTTGTGGAATGAATACACATTGAATTTTGTCCAACATTATTCTGATAGCATGATGTCCAATAGAAGGACCGAATCCTTTTAAAATACTTTATAGTGGTGTTCTTTAGAATGTTGACTGTAAAGTCTTGTGCTGCCTAGTTAAAAGTGTGGCAGACAGCCCCATCTTTGGCAACATAACTGCATCCCTGCAGGATTCAGCTTTTGCACCTGACTCCTTCAGCAATCCGAGCCTGTGGCCCACCTTCTTTAGTCACCTGTTCCTCGTATTTCAGTTCATGTCTGGTTCTCAACTTGTCCTTCCCAAGCACCATATTGCTCTTCTATTAATAGCTAACTGTGTTCTGTCTTAATGAGCCCTTCACACTTCATCTTCTTAGAATTTCCTGGTAATGAATCTTGCTGTATTTAATCGGGAAACCAAAAGCCTTCAACTGGGAGAGCCACCTTGGCACTAATGAGCTTCTCCTGACTACTCCATCTTTTCTAGTGGAAGCCTCCAGAGGAATAAGGTGGTGTGTGTACTTTAAGCTTCTTAATTCAGTCAGACTATAGGTTCATTTACATCATCTCTGAATCTGCTTACAATCTACTCCAGTCTAGAACTTGGCTAGGACCAATAACTGGTGGATGTTTTCTAGCATTTAGTATTGAAATTAACATAAGCAAGAATGTAAAATGCAAGTAGTCCCATGTGATAATTATATTAATAAAGATTATTTATGTTACAAATAATATTGCTTCCCACCTTAGAGAGTTTTAATCAAGTAGATTCTAGGATCTTTGCAAGGTAGCAAAGACCTTAAAGCTAATTTGAAAATTCTGTTACTTGGACATCATCCAAATTAAGCACTTTTGCACTTAAAGAATACAATCAAGACCATGAAAAAACAACCTACAGAATGGGAGAAAACATTTACAAATCATATATCTAATAAGTAAAATGTCCAGAAGAACTCTTACAACTTAATAATAAAAAGACAAACCAATGTTACCATGAGCCAAAGATCTGAATAAGCATTTCTCCAAAGAAGATAAACTAATAACAAATAAGCACATCAAAATTACTCAATGTCGTTAGTTACTATGAAAATGCAAATCAAAACCACAATGAAATATCATTTCACACCCACTATAATGATTACAATAAAAAAGATAGACAATAAAAAGTGTCAGTGAGTACTGGAGAAACTGAAATTATAGAATTACCATAAACCCAGCAATTTCACTTTTAGGTATCTCCCCAGGGCAAGTGAAAACATATGTCCATGCAAACACTTACAGGTAAATGTTCATAGAAGCACTGTCTACAAGAGCCAAAAGGTAGCAACAACTCAAATGCCCATCAAACTGGTGAACAGGTAAACAAAGTGGGATGTGTCTATATAACGGGATACTATTCAAAAGAATAAAAAGAACACCTGATACAGCCTACAACACTGATGAGCCTCAAAAACATTTTGCTCCATGAAAGAAGCCAGCCACAAAAGAACACATTTTTCATGATTCTCTTTACATGAAATGTAAAAAACAGAATAGACAAATATACTGAGACATAAAGATTAGTGTTTGCCTAGGAAGTGGGTGAGAGTGAAGAGTGACTCTGATGGGCACAAGATTTCTTTGGGGGTGCTAGAAATGTTCTAAAATTAGATTTTGGTGATGATTGCACAATTCTGTAAATATACTAAAAATCATTCAGTTGAACACTTAAAATGGGTGGATTTTGTGGTATGTAAATAATACCTCAATAAAGCTGTTAACTTAAAGAATTATATTACTGATTTTACATGAGGATGCAAATAGTTTTTGTTAAACATATACAGATTTCTGTACGTGCACTGCAGAGTTCAGGGTTTTTAAGTTTAGAAATAAGGGTCTGTTTCTCCTGAAATTTAGTAGAGAATTAGTAGTAAAAGACTGTACTGTATTCTAGATGAGGCTAGAATAAAATGGCAAGAAAATGAAAGCCCTAGATGAAAAATTATAATATACTTTCCATACATGGTATTTTCCATACATGATAAGCTTTAAAAGATACTTGAATAAATTCCCATGAATTCTGCAGCTAATTCTGCTGCAGGAATAAGGAATATAAGTTGGATCCCTTTCTTCAGAGTATGTTAATTCAAGGACTGAACAACTTTCACTCCATAACATTTTTCTTATTGTTTCAACAGGGAATGTGGATATTAACTACATCTTTTTGCAAAGTGCGAAATGCCAATGTAATAATAATAACAGCTAATACTTATTGATTGCTTGCTGTATGCCAGACACTGAGTGATTTAAATCCATGTCCTCATTTAATGCGCTACATTGGTATGAACACCTACTCTTCTTACTCAGTTTAATTGCACCTCCCTTTCTTTTGTCCTATTTCGTGGCCTTTCTCTGCTCTCTTTTTCTTTTTTCTACTCCACTTTTCTTTCCTACTCATCTTGAGTGCAAATTATTCAACTGCTGGTTACACTATTCATGTTTCAGAGTGTCAATTTTTTAAAAACAAATGCTTTGTTCACATTGCTCTGCCTTTAGCCAAAAACCAATTTGACACAGGAGAAAAATATCAAATCAGATTTTGTGCTGAATTTGGACTGATTTAGTTAAAATGTTTAAGTGGTTTGTATACATAAGTCTGCCTTAAATCAAAGAAATGTGGGTTGAAGGGGAGGAGGTCTTTGAATGTTAAATGGTAGGTTCCACACGAGTATGGAAACTTTAGCGAAGAAATATGCAACAGAGGACAGAAGAAAGAAAATACTAATTCACAAAAGGTATGGGTGAAGGGCTGGCAACCTCCTCTACCCCGTAACACAAAACGTGGACATCTGTGAGTATGCCTGAGTGCCTTGCATTAATAATTTGCATATTAAGAAGTCACGAGTCTTCACGTTAATGAATCTCTAACTAGTCTCTGACACAATAGACTGAGTGTCCCTGGAGGAGTCATTATGGCCTCTCATGTCAATGATCTGCATATTAATGACTCTCTTACAGGCTCATCAACAGGTAGCCTAATGGGCTTCCATTGAGTTCTTTTTCATTTGCTTTTTAAATGTATCCTCTCTTCCCTTCCTTTTGTAATACTATTGTGAAGAATTGACAAAAAGGTGCATTAAGATGATTTTAATGCGTGACGTAAGTTCACAAAAGCATTAGATTTAGAAATAATGCTTGAAGACTTCCTGAGTCTGCCTAGGAAACTTTTCAAATGTAGTTAAATACAAATCCAGTTTGATAATAGAGTTCTTATTTGGATTTTAACACAAACCATCCAACTCAATTTACCAAATTTCTCTGTTCCCTGATATATCAATTTATGCTGTGATTAGCATAAGTAGAAGAGCTAATTTCAAAATATATTTGTGAAACTGAATTTCTTGAAAATAGAAATGAATTCCAATGGATTTCATATCATTTATTAAACTAAACATTTATTAAAACTAAAAAGCAGTGACTGATAGTATAAAAAATTTAGAAATATGAAAGAATTTTAAATATAGAGAAAATGCTAGACATATATTAACTGGATTGCAATAAATAAATGGTCCCAAGATGTAAAAAGATGATGTAACTTTTAAATTTAACACTTAATTAAAAGCAGTCACAGGAAGGCAGTGAGTATTTTACCATTTCTAACTTGATTTGGCACACCTTGACTTTTGTTGGCCTTAATTGTTATATTTAAGATATCCGGTGATTTTTTTTTAACAAAACATAAAACCTATGATCTTCTCTATGAAATACTGAAGAACTGCTTTAACCAGTATTTGTGTTGAATTATATATCATTTCACCTGACTTACTCTCCAGATAAAGGGAAGTATATTGATATATGCTTGAAATTCTCTGTCAAGAGACAGGAATGGGACAAAAGCTGGGGAAAATATTGGAGAAGTTTGGCACTTTGTTCCCCATTTAAAGAAACAACCAACCATGTGTAAACGTTACTATCTTGGGGAAACACAGAGGTCACAGATGTTCAGGTGAGTGGCTGCCACCCTCAGTTGGGCAACAGATCTTTTTGAGGATCTGTTTTCAAAATCTGAGTCTCATGCCCCTTTGTTTTCATTTCAGCTGCTAAGCCTTCCAAATAGAACCCTTCCACACGTATACCGGAAATATCAATTTACATTTTAAATTACTTTTTCTTAAAACAGTTTCAAAACAATATATAACACAAATTCTGTAGTGCTTGGATGTCAAAGCTAAGTATTTAACAAACCAAATGACTTAGGTGATACTTATATGCAGATTTCGCAGAGAAAACACGTGTCATCAGGATTTCTTTAACTGCAATTAGTTGGCTCATAGTCATGACTCTGTGATAATGAGTTTTTATACAACCACAAACAAATCAGTATTGCTATGAAGAAAATAATGCCTGAGACTCAGTATTCTTAGAAATAATAGACATTAGAATGCTCTGAAAATTTTTGAATGATGGGTGCAGTATAATCACAGGAATCACTTTGCAGGGGAATTGTGCAGAATGGGAATGCCAGACTTCTGAAGTGTAATAAGACTCTCAGCTGGACAATCATTACTTTCTTGTCACCTACATGCTCCGTGGGTAACAATTAATTCCATTAAGAATCCAGGTAAACTAAGAACATTAGGCCAATAAATTTAAGATTTTTTCCTAATATCTCTCCTGTGCATTCTTCAGTTTTTCCAGTATCCATCACTTAAAAACATTTATTTTTCTTTCTCGATAGAATATAATTGGCACGTTGTGGCAGAGAACCTTGTCCCTTGGGCCAAGTTTACCTATAAGTCTTCTTCCACTTAAAATTCATGGATTCTGCTTGTAATTACGTCTCTCACAAAGCAACGTACCTTTTTTTTTTTTTGGTTCACATGCGAACCTCCAAGATTCGACTTAATTATGCACTAGATCCTCACAATTTAATACTTGTTTAGAAGACACTCTAAAGAGATCACATCTCTACAAAATTGCACATGATACCCAGACTCAATCACAGAATTAAATCCAAAGAGTTTTTTCTCCCTGATTCCTGTGGGGTAGAGTGAACAAGGAAAAATAGCACCCCCCACTTTGATGTGACAAAGCAGATTTGAAAACAGCAATCCTTGGCAAGTGACAAAAGGTGAGGAAACAAAGAAACTTTGAAAAGAGACTTACCAAAGAATTCTTCAACAAGGTTATGTTTTTTCATTGCTTCTTTCTCTGCTGTTGGAATTTCCTCCATCAAGACGGCATAGCACCATTGTTTTCAGTACGTTTTCCAGATCCAGCACTGAGGCAATAGGCAATGTTCTAATTTCGTAAAAGAAACAGAAGATTTTTAGGAACATAGCAATTCAGCTTTATGGAAAACAGGAAAGTGACTCAATAAAACCATCTGGTCACTAATGTGGTGGAATGTTCTTAGTTACTTGAATGCTCGAGCACTTCACTAGAGTTTACTCAAGGGACTTGTGGTTTGCCGTGGTTTATGATTGTGTTTTTAAAGTAATAAATTAGTTTATATAATATATACTATCCAATA